GACTCATTGGAAAAGGCAATAATGCTGGGAAAGGCAGAGGGAAGTAGGGAGGAAGGCCACATGTCAGATGGATGGACACTATTGAGGTCATGGATATGGGTTTGCAGGATTTAAGCCGAGAAGTGGAGGACAGAGGGTCTTGGAGATGTCTCATCAGTAAGGTTGCCATGAGTCGAGATCGACTCGAGGGCAGTTAACAACAACAGCAAAAGAAATGTCCATAAGTTAGCCATTCCCCCAATGTTATTTTTTTAAAAGTAGTAAACTACTTTGAAAGTAACATAATGTCCACTACATGCACCTATCTTGCTGAAACCTGTCAGCCTTCTTGCCAAATGTGTGATGTGTGCCACTTTGATACAAAGTAATTTCACCCCTACAAATTAGGAAAGCATAGTGTTTTTCTCAGAAAGGGTTTTTCTCAGAAAGACATGGAAAGGGTTTTTCCATGTCTTAGGGAAAAAATCATTGATAGTTTGCTTTTTAAAAAATCAAAATGTAAAGTTTCATAGCATATAGTCACATGCTGAGATGCTACTATGCCTGAAAGTTTCATTCCACTTTGACAGAGATGATTAGTTTGTAGGTGGTTTTAGATTCTTGTCACACAGGGCCTCTGCAGACGGGCGGCCATGGGCCACCCCGAGAGGCTGCGGATTGGGGCTGAGGTAGCCGCACTCTTTGGCCCCAATCCTCCCCTTTTCAGGCCCTGGAAGGAGCGCTAAAATAGCGCTCCTTCCACAAGACGCGTAAGAGGCGCCGCAAGAGGCGTTGGGAGCCTCTTGGGCCTCTCTTCTGCTACAGCGTGTGTGGACGGTGCAGTGGAAGTATGTCATCGGAGCACCCGTCGTGTGGAGCAATGGGCACTCCGATGACGTGTTCGGGAAGGGGTTGGGGCATCCAGCATGAGGCTGCCCCTCCCCTTCCTTGTCTCCAAGACAGAGCAAAGTGCTGTCTGCAAAGGGGGTTAGAGACATGGATTTTCAGACATTTAGCCTTTTCTATCAGAGAGCTCAGGTGTCACAAAAAACTACAAATCCCATGATTCCATTGCACGGAGCCATCACAGTTTAAGCAGTGTCAAACTATTTCTGCAGTGCAGATTTGGATTCAGATAGGGTGCAGCTCTCGCTTTTGCAGCTCTCATTGGCACTAATTTAATGATGACAATTCCCCACCTAGATTCTCCCATATGGCAGTCTCTCATTTTCCCTCCTAAATTCTCTTTGTCCCAAATTTTGAGAAAGTTGTCTGAAATCTGTTTTTAAACAATTATTTAAAAACTATTGCTTA